AGAGCCGAAGTGCATTGCGTCGTAGGCTGTGAGCCATACCGGGAGGTTCAGTACCGTGTCGAGATTTGGAGGCACGCCGATTCGCTTACTCATGTCTGTGGCTGACCAATGTTTCCAAGTATCAAGCCACAGTGGATGGAGCTCGCGAAGCAAAAGCCACTTGGAGCTTGCATTTGGGTAGTATGAAAGAAAATCGAATGGGTGACTGTCTCGGAATAACTGATGTATTGTGCGGCTAAATTGTCGCTGTACAAGTTTCTTCCACACCAGGATTTCACCAGGAGAATCGGCAGACATAAAGAGCTGTAAACGAAGAAGGCGTTGTGTTCGCAGCCTCGATGCAATGTGGGGGATTCCCAAGCCTAAAGGCTTGTCGTACTGCCACCTTCTATGGATTGAGGGACGGTAACTCTCATCGAGCTGGGTCTTGCGGCAAAGTATGAACTTGTTTAACATTTGTTGCCACGTAACGACCATAGCAGGAGGCACAGGTACAACGGCTGTTACATGCCACAACATAGATAGCAACATCGTGGAGGCAATAAGCTTTCGGCCCTGCAATGTCCTTGCTCGTTTACCCCATAGTTGAAAGGACGAGATGAATTTGTCGTTGAGTTTTTGAAGTTGGGAGTCAGCCGAAAGTCGATGGCCAAAGAGAATACCAAGATATTTCGTACACTGACCAGTTGGTACGATATTGAGCAAACCATCTGCTTCGATGTCTTCTTGATCGAGATGGTCGTTGAGAACCAAGGTCATGCACTTGGAACGATTCAGACGGGCCCCTGAAGCCGTGCAAAACTCTTCCACAATTGCCATTTGCTCCACAGCAGATTGCAGCGAGTTTGATAACAACGTCGAGTCGTCGGCAAAGAATATACTCGTAATAACTGAGTCGTGGGGGAGAGCGATTCCAAGATGTGGGGACGCTCGGAGCATCTCACCAAGAGGTTCTAGGTATAGGACGAACAGTAGGCATGATAAAGGACAGCCTTGTTTGACGCCTCGGGTAGGTCGGATCTTAGGGCCAAGCTCGCCATTGAAGATGATCTGGACCAAAGGTGAGTCGTACAAAAGAGCTACCCACGCAATGAAACCATCACCAGTGTTGACTTCTCTCAGCACATCAAGCATGAATTCTCGATCCACCATGTCGTACGCTTTCGAAAAGTCAAGGAATGTTGCATAGTAGTCGTGATCTTCGTTAGTGCAAAACGTTTGCAAAGTTTGCACAAGCAGGACGTGGTCATGCAGCCGTCGTCCTGGGACAAAGCCAGCTTGACTTGGGTGAATGAGATGAGGAGCTACTGTAGCCAGGCGATAAGCGAGGGCACGGGATAGTATCTTCACCTCCACTGACATGAGTGCAATAGGTCGGTAGTTTCCAGGATCGCCTCGATCACCAGCTTTGAAGAGCAGAGCCACAGCACTACGCCTTTGTTGAAGGAGTAGTTTACCGTGGTGGTGAAGTTGGTAGTTGAAGACCCTGACCAGGATTTCGGAGAAAGCCTCGGGTGCTACTTGGAAGAAGGCCGCTGGCCATCCATCAGGACCAGGAGACTTGTTTGGACTCATTGTCTTGAGAGCACTACACAGCTCGGCTGCTGTGATAGGTCTGTCTAGCTCCTCGCGTTGCTCATCATTGAGTTTGCGGGAGATAAACCGTATGACAGCCCTCCGCCTCGCCCGGTTTAGCCGAGGTTGTTCGCCACGAGTGGTAGTCATTATTGCCTTCCAATGGGCAGTGAATCTCTCTTTGATAGTGGTAGGATCAGACACGGGAATGCCATCGACGTTGACCGTCGTGATAGGAACCTTGAGTCCTTGTGGCCTTCGAAAGAAGTGGCTCGTACCGCGTTCGTTGATATTTGCATGAAAATCGAATTGCTGATCCATGCGGTATTGGCGATATTCGATTCTTGCGTTTTCCAGCGCCAACCGAGTAGCATCAACGGCAGCCTCGTCGAGCAAGCCAGCTTCGTATGATCGTTGTGCAGATATATGTCTCAGTTTTAGGCTTTTGAGCTCGTGTTGCATGGATTGGAGGTGGTGGCGATGACATTGTTGTAAACGTCGTTTGATTCGCTTAAGCCACCCATACCAGACGGCTCCCATGTTTGTCGATTCGTCCGCACGCATCTCAGAGAGGAGGTGTGATGCCTCTTCTCGTATGGCTTTGATGACGAGCGGGTCTTTGAGTAGCTCTCTCGGCAGCCTCCAGTAGCCACGGGTCGTGGGTGTATGACTTGTAGAGAGAACGACAGTGTGCTCCAAGTGATCTCCGGCAAAGCTGTTAGTGGCATATTTTGAGCTTTGGTAGGATTGGGCAACTAAATCTTGGTCAATGAACCAGTAGTCCAGACGATTGCTTCGTCCTGGACCGCTTGCCAGTCTTTCGTGAGGGTGGTGTAGGCGCCACGCGTCGATGACTCCTAGTTGTGACAGCCAGGCAAGACATTCGACTTTTCCAAAGGTGTGATCTTGCCGTGGTTTGGAAGCATCGAGGTGTTCGTTGACAGGAAGGTTAAAATCTCCCCCAACCAGGTGTACACTGTTAGCTTCAAAAGCGCGAGGGAGACGCTCCTATGGCTCACTGCAATGGGGAGGTATATTAATAGACTTTCAATATCTACTAATACTAATATTGCCTACTAACGGCTCATCCCACTTCCAAATGCTTCAGCAGATTTTCTACTTTGGGCTTTGGAGTACAGCGATTTTTGACTTGTTGAATAAATACTTGGGGCTTGTTAATTTGGGGCTGAAGGTTGGAGCGCGAGCAAAGTCGGGTACTTGGCTACCAGTGGGCGATAGACAGGTTGTCTATGCAAAGTATTGATTGCTGATATTGCTTCCACTCGTTGAGGGCTGTCAACTTCTTGGAGGCGAAGCCATCTGCGGATCGATGCATGCCATCGGATGAAGCTGACTTCTTGCCAAATTTCTGGCGGAGGCGGCTTCTTCGATTCGAACTTGGCGGCGTTGTGCGTTGTCCAAATATAGTGAAGGTTGGAAGCACACAGAAGAGCCCAGAGCACAAACAGTATGTCTTGAAGCTGGCTACCGCGTTCGTTGACTTGAAAGCGGTCGATGTTGGTGATGGCAGTCCAATCGAAATTGACACCGAAGCATCGCCAAGCGGTCGCGTGAAAACGCCAAAGGGGATACACGCGAGAGCAGGTGTGGAAGGCGTGGTGTTGGTTCTCCGGTGCGTCGCAATTGGTATAGACACAGCAAATTACGTCTGGCTGCTGAGGTTGCAAGTAGAACAAGCGCGAGTTGACAGGCAGCATGTTGAACAACAGTCGAAACCAAACGTCGCCATGGAGGGGAGGCGGCCAACGGCATGTTTTGCGGATGAGTCGCACGTAGGTCGCAATATCTTGTTGCTCGACGCGGGACGATGTCGCCACTGGGTGCGGTTTTCCATCCGAAGGGGCGTGATGCGCCAAACGTGATACGAGTCGCTTGGGCCAACGCTCGAAGGATAGCAATTGATCTTTGAAAAGTGCCTTGAAAGGGTGACTTGTTGTATCGATATCGGTCAAAGCAGTTCCAGTTCGAACGCCAGACGTGCGGAGGACTTGGTCGAATATCTTGGTGAGGTGGCTATAAACTTGACCAGCACGTTCGGGTGCTGCAAATCCCATCGCGCCGTTCGCTTGTAACGTCACTTGTGCCGCACGGTTGTTGGATGACAGTCGATCAATAAACGCAGCTCTTGTAGGCCATGTCCCTTGCCGTGTCAAGAAGTCTTTGAGGCAGTGGAAACCGTTTTGAGACGCATGTCTACACCATCGACGACACAGAGCAGTCTTCACGACATTTGATGTAGCACCCGCAGGACCAACTTGCAGAGCGGGGTAGGATGTCAGCCACACGGGGAGGTTCAAAAGTTCTTCGAGGCTTGGTGGCGAAGCGGTTCGCTTGGCCATAGGTGTGGCGGCGCTCCTATGGCTCAGTTGGTAGAGCGTCAGTCTCATAATCTGAAGGTCGCCAGTTCGATCCTGGCTGGGAGCAGCCTTTTTCATCCCTTTTTCTTGCCGCACTTGAACCGACATTCTCACAAAATCAAGCACACTACCATCGACACACAACAAGTATCACTCTGTCCCCTCCTCGTCAAAATAGCACCACCAGTCAACTAACACACACATTCCATTTGCCACACAAGGCCAGACGCATCGAAATGTTGTACCAACACACTACTCAATATACCTGCACCGACATATGCGCAAGTCTGTGAACGCGGCCAAAAACATCGCTCGTTCAGTCCTCCTGAGATCTCTTCTTTGCATGCACTCATGCCACTTTGTGTCGTGACAACAAGAACACTACTAAACACCGCGGTCCCAATCACTGATCACATGTATTACCTCGTTAGACGCAGAGGCTTAATATTGAATCCCCACGTTGCTTGATAAACGAAAGGTTGACAATACGACAGGAAAAACTCACGAACGTCTCACTCTTAGCTCTCAAAAGCAGTTCAATAGTGCCAGTGATTTCGATAGTAGTGTCTACAGTCGAAATGAACCAGGGATCGTAGAGTCTCCATATTGCGAATACTTTTACACAAATGAATGCCGCTGTGGCTACAGTGGTAAAGTGTCAATGGGTTTGTTTTGAATGGAATGAGAAGTGTGTTTACGCAAGGACTCGATGTGTTTGTGCGCATCCTTCCAGCAAGCATACATCAAGAAAAGTGTAGCGTCGGTCACCGGGGTAAACGCCATGCATTTGTATATGTTTCTAAGGTTCAAGAATACATGAGAAAGGATCCGTCGATGAGTTCCAGCATTTTTAGTCGTTGGTGGCATGTATGAAGTCTTGTAGACGTCAGTATCTCTATTTTTGAGGTGGTTTCAAGTGGAAGAAATGTTTGAATTTTTGGTAAGGCGAAAGATGGAGTGCGAGTAGTTTGAGACGAGAGTGGGGTATGAATAGGAAGGTGTTTGAATGGTGGATTTAGAATTTGAAGTGTCCAATCAAGGCATGCCGCTCCTATGGCTCAGTTGGTAGAGCGTTCAGTCTCATAATCTGAAGGTCGCCAGTTCGATCCTGGCTGGGAGCAGCCTTTTTCATCCCTTTTTCTTGCCGCACTTGAACCGACATTCTCACAAAATCAAGCACACTACCATCGACACACAACAAGTATCACTCTGTCCCCTCCTCGTCAAAATAGCACCACCAGTCAACTAACACACACATTCCATTTGCCACACAAGGCCAGACGCATCGAAATGTTGTACCAACACACTACTCAATATACCTGCACCGACATATGCGCAAGTCTGTGAACGCGGCCAAAAACATCGCTCGTTCAGTCCTCCTGAGATCTCTTCTTTGCATGCACTCATGCCACTTTGTGTCGTGACAACAAGAACACTACTAAACACCGCGGTCCCAATCACTGATCACATGTATTACCTCGTTAGACGCAGAGGCTTAATATTGAATCCCCACGTTGCTTGATAAACGAAAGGTTGACAATACGACAGGAAAAACTCACGAACGTCTCACTCTTAGCTCTCAAAAGCAGTTCAATAGTGCCAGTGATTTCGATAGTAGTGTCTACAGTCGAAATGAACCAGGGATCGTAGAGTCTCCATATTGCGAATACTTTTACACAAATGAATGCCGCTGTGGCTACAGTGGTAAAGTGTCAATGGGTTTGTTTTGAATGGAATGAGAAGTGTGTTTACGCAAGGACTCGATGTGTTTGTGCGCATCCTTCCAGCAAGCATACATCAAGAAAAGTGTAGCGTCGGTCACCGGGGTAAACGCCATGCATTTGTATATGTTTCTAAGGTTCAAGAATACATGAGAAAGGATCCGTCGATGAGTTCCAGCATTTTTAGTCGTTGGTGGCATGTATGAAGTCTTGTAGACGTCAGTATCTCTATTTTTGAGGTGGTTTCAAGTGGAAGAAATGTTTGAATTTTTGGTAAGGCGAAAGATGGAGTGCGAGTAGTTTGAGACGAGAGTGGGGTATGAATAGGAAGGTGTTTGAATGGTGGATTTAGAATTTGAAGTGTCCAATCAAGGCATGCCGCTCCTATGGCTCACTGCAATGGGGAGGTATATTAATAGACTTTCAATATCTACTAATACTAATATTGCCTACTAACGGCTCATCCCACTTCCAAATGCTTCAGCAGATTTTCTACCTTGGGCTTTGGAGTACAGCGATTTTTGACTTTTGAATAAATACTTGGGGCTTGTTAATTTGGGGTTGAAGGTTGGAGCGCGAGCAAAGTCGGGTACTTGGCTACCAGTGGGCGATAGACAGGTTGTCTATGCAAAGTATTGATTGCTGAAATTGCTTCCACTCGTTGAGGGCTGTCAACTTCTTGGAGGCGAAGCCATCTGCGGATCGATGTATGCCATCGGATGAAGCTGACTTCTTGCCAAATTTCTGGCGGAGGCGGCTCCTTCGATTCGAACTTGGTGGCGTTGTGCGTTGTCCAAATATAGTGAAGGTTGGAAGCACACAGAAGAGCCCAGAGCACAAACAGTATGTCTTGAAGCTGGCTACCGCGTTCGTTGACTTGAAAGCGGTCGATGTTGGTGATGGCAGTCCAATCGAAATTGACACCGAAGCATCGCCAAGCGGTCGCGTGAAAACGCCAAAGGGGATACACGCGAGAGCAGGTGTGGAAGGCGTGGTGTTGGTTCTCCGGTGCGTCGCAATTGGTATAGACACAGCAAATTACGTCTGGCTGCTGAGGTTGCAAGTAGAACAAGCGCGAGTTGACAGGCAGCATGTTGAACAACAGTCGAAACCAAACGTCGCCATGGAGGGGAGGCGGCCAACGGCATGTTTTGCGGATGAGTCGCACGTAGGTCGCAATATCTTGTTGCTCGACGCGGGACGATGTCGCCACTGGGTGCGGTTTTCCATCCGAAGGGGCGTGATGCGCCAAACGTGATACGAGTCGCTTGGGCCAACGCTCGAAGGATAGCAATTGATCTTTGAAAAGTGCCTTGAAAGGGTGACTTGTTGTATCGATATCGGTCAAAGCAGTTCCAGTTCGAACGCCAGACGTGCGGAGGACTTGGTCGAATATCTTGGTGAGGTGGCTATAAACTTGACCAGCACGTTCGGGTGCTGCAAATCCCATCGCGCCGTTCGCTTGTAACGTCACTTGTGCCGCACGGTTGTTGGATGACAGTCGATCAATAAACGCAGCTCTTGTAGGCCATGTCCCTTGCCGTGTCAAGAAGTCTTTGAGGCAGTGGAAACCGTTTTGAGACGCATGTCTACACCATCGACGACACAGAGCAGTCTTCACGACATTTGATTTAGCACCCGCAGGACCAACTTGCAGAGCGGGGTAGGATGTCAGCCACACGGGGCGCTCCTATGGCTCAATGTCAATGGGGAGTCTATTTGTAGTTAATGTAAACTACAAACTAATATTGCCCGAAGGCTCATCCCATTTCCAACTGCTAGGCTGAATTGGAAATCAATTTGGCTTTTCGTTTTCTTGATTCGCTTCGACGTTGGGACTTCGATTTCTTCGGTGTTTGTAAGCTAACACGGCGAATATGTCGGATAAAACTGACTCTTGGCATCTGACCCAGGGGGTATACATTTTCATTGTCTTGGATCATACATAGACTTCGGTCTATGCAGCGCTTGTATCGCTTGGCGAGGACCCAGCAATGGGATGTTGAATCAGTGACAGAAACAACCAAGAATTCTCCGTCAGGCTCATCCAATATCGCTCTACAGATATCACGAATTGGATCACCCACCGATTGCTTGAGCAGTTGACGGGAGAATATGGCGTCGTTGTAGTGGAATCCATGTGTGTATGCCAGCTTGAGAAAATCATGCATCTTGGAAGGGGGAATGCCCGCGTCTTGAGGAACTCCATGGGCCTCTTTGAAACCCGAAATGACTTCTTCGCTGAGCTCAAAATTGGAGACATTCAAATTGGTAGCAACGATTCGGATTGCAGCCGCAAGACAAGATTTGTCACTGTTGTTGCCAATTTCTAGCCACAGAGGATCCATCGCTCGAAATTCAGCAAGCGTTGGGGCGAGACCAGTGTTCGTGAGGAAGTGGGCTCCAGCTTGTCGCCATCGTTGGTACATCGCCACGGCTTCTTGACACCCGCTGAGGTCTTTTTCGTCGAACCAGTCTTTGTCGAGTCCATCCGGGCGTTGAAACTTCCAGTTGACTTGGTATTGAATAGTTGAAATTCGATTTCGCATTGATGCCACTTCGCGGTGGTCATCGATAAACAACACTTCATCGATGTCATCATCGTCGGTTGGAATTCGCAGAGTGCGTGGGCGGTTGGTTGGGGCATCAGCCGTTGTCGCATTCGTTTGTGGCCTGGCTGGAACAGAAACATCGTCCAATAGATCCATGAGGGATGGTAGCGGAGATCCATTGTCATTGCCCAAGGGGTCAAATTCGCGGGTGCTCGAGTTCAAAATGGACATATCAGGAGTAAATTGGTGTTCTTCAGTTGTAACTGGACTTGAAGGACGAGTGTCGGATGATTGCGTCATAGGTACAGAAATCTCAACTCCATCCACTCCCTCAAGAGTAATCCCTGGAGACATCGAGCTCCCCACACCTCGTGTAGTTATGGGTCTCGACGTCTGCGCGGGGAGTACGCTATCGGCAGTGAAAATCGTTGAAGCTTCCATTGTTGTTGTCTTGGGTAAAATCAAAAGTGAGTCTTGGAGAATTGTTTTGAGATTCTCACTGAACTTATTCTCAGTTGCGACACTTGAGTCAGGCACGATTTGATTGGGCAGTGAAATGTTTTGCGCGGATCGTGAGTGATGGTCGCCAGGATTCCCAATCAAAAATTCAGCTGGGATACCAAGTCAAGAATACAGCTGGGGCTTGTAATCAAATTACTGGTGTTCAACTCGAAAAGACATGGGATATTTGTCGAATAGCTCGTTGTATCCAGCTTGAGAGAAAAGGACTGAGACCGCTTCGATGATGTTTCGATAGTCGAAGTCGTCAGGCGAGAGCAAACGAATTGTTCGCCTGATGGAAGCTGTCCAACTGACAAATATAATCTCGTTCCATAGTAAAATCGGTAGAGGCTTTTTGCCATCGAACTTGGTTGCATTTCTTTGAGTCCATAAGGAGTACGTGATGGAAGCACAAAGGAGGGACCATAATTTGAATAATGCGTCATGCAGGTGTTTTCCTCGCGTATTGGTCTTGAAGCGACTGATATTCGTGGTGGTTGCCCAATCAAACTTAACACCATAAGCACTCCATGCTCGCTCTTGGAACATCCAAACTTGATGTACATGATGACATGTATGGAAGGCATGATGAAAAGTCTCAACATCCGAGCAATCTTCGTAGACACAACAAATAGCGTCAGGGTTTTGGATCTGCATATAGGAAAACCTCGAGTTGACGGGTAACATCTTCATGTGCAATCGAAACCATACATCGCCTTGAACAGGTGGAGGTAGATTACACACAGTACGAATGAGACGGATATACTTTGCTATGTCTTTGTCAGTTCTTGTCGTAGTCTTCATAGGATGTATAGCTTCAGTCTGGGGGGCGTGGTAAGCTAAATGCACCACGTTTTTCTTGGGCCACGACTCGAAAGGTAAATCAGCATCCTTGATTCTGGCTGTAAACGGATGTTGACAAGTCGGGACATTAGGCAGTGGCGACCCTTGCCGAATGTCAAACGATCGAACAACTTTGTCGAAGATTCGTGTGAGTTGATTGTAAATGTCGGTTGTGCGGGGCAATGTGGCAAAGTCCATGACTCCGTCCTGGTTTAGACAAACTTGGGCAGCTGGATTGTTCGACGACATTCGGTTCACGAACATGGTCTCTGTTGGCCAAGCACCATGTGGGGTCAGGAAATCCTTCAGGCATCTGAGACCATTTTTGGCCCCGTGGCGGCACCAGAGACGCATGTCTTCATCTTTCACGACATTTGCTAACATCTTAGCAGAGCCGAAGTGCATTGCGTCGTAGGCTGTGAGCCATACCGGGAGGTTCAGTACCGTGTCGAGATTTGGAGGCACGCCGATTCGCTTACTCATGTCTGTGGCTGACCAATGTTT